GTAGTAGCACCCACCGTGCTCCAGAGCAGACGCCACACCCAAGAGTATTTAGGCATCACCAATCAGGCTTGATGGGTTTAAGAAAAAAGCAAAACAAAACAGCTGGAAACAGAACAGTGGCACATGCCTGTAATCCCAGCACTCGAGGAGGCAGAGACTGGCAACGCAATGTGAATTCAAGGCCAGCCTGGTCTATAAAGTGAGTCCAGGACAGCCAAGGCTACAACAGGGAAACCGAGTCTGGGGGGAGGGGGGAGAGAGAGTGGGAAACATGAGATTCGGTTGGAAGGAAGATGGGAGTGGAACTGGGAGGTGTTGGGGGAGGCGGGTGTATATGATCAAAATACATTGTATGAAATTCTTGAAGAATTAATAAAAATATTCTGAAAACGAAAAACGAGCCGGGGAGGAAGTATCCAGTTTGGAAACACCACCAATGCTGACACCATCTGTGTTGGGTTTCATCCAAGGACAGGATCATGTAGGTGCCCTGTTTCTGTGCCTGTCCTCTCTGTGTGGACTATGTGACCTCAAGTGACTCATTTGATCTTGGGGGGCTTTTGCTTCTTTGTCTACAGGGTGAGAGGAGGTCCCCAGACATGCCTTTCCCCACAGACACCTCAGAAACACCTCCTCTTGTCATTTCCTCCCTCCACTCCCTCCATCACCTTCTTAAGCAAGGACTGGCCAAGCTTGAAACTGAGTGCCAAGGGGCCAGCAGACGGCATGTCCTTCCCCAGCCTCAGGGGCAACCACCTTGGCAAAAACACGGTGCTCCCTCTACCCCCAACCTTCACCATCCCACTCGTGCCATCCGTTTTTGCTTTGTTTTTATTTAATTCACTTTTGGAGGCTCTGGGGTGGGGGTTAAATCAGGGACTCCCTACACATAAAGTGTGTGCTCTGTCATTTCTTTACTGTCATTTCAAAACTGGAGTCAAGGAGAAATATTTACAGCGAGTCCAATGGGAAAAATAGTTTCTAGAAGGGGTGTGGTCACAAGTGAAGAGAGACAAAAAGACAGACTGGAGGACATGTTTATTTTAAGGGTTAGCCCAAGGGATGGAGGCTGAAGCTTTTGGGTGGCTGGTACAGAAGAAAGGCTTGGCTAACCAACAATTTGAATGAAAATGACTTGGTAAAAAGATCAGAAGGAATATGGCCTCGGAATAATAACAAACCGCTTTAGACACAGTCAGTTCCCGGAAGGCTCTGCCTCGCTTGTGTTCTACCGAAAACGGCTTGGTGATTTACAGGGAAACTGGCTGGAAAGTAGCAAAAAAGGAGAACAAGGAACAAAAAGAAAAATTTCTGAGTCTACAAGAAATAAGAGTCTGATTGCTGTGTTGGAAGTCTCCAGGGTGAGGGTTTCTGGGAGAAGTCCAGGTGTGGGAGTTCTTTGGTAAGGAGAGGTGATTTCGAGGAAGAGAAGGGAAGAAAATAAAACGGCCTTTTGAGGACCTCGTTAACGACTTTTAACGTCACTTTTTGTTGAAATAATAGTTTTCTACTGGCTTAAACAAAATATGATATTAACCTCACTTGTGTTTGTTTTTGACTTGACTGCTGAAGCCCTGAAAGGACCGGCGCCTTCCATCTGTGGTGCATGCTGTGTCTCTACAGGAGGGGGCTGATGGAGACCATTTTCTCTTGTTAAGATGAAATGCTAGTTGAATAATGAAGATGGATGTTTTAGGAGCATTGACTCTGGGTGTGTTTTGCCTGCTTTATGCCTGTGCAGCCTTTCTATGCGTCGTCACCATGGATGCCAGAAGAGGGCATCTTACCTTCCAGAAGCGGAGTTACACACAGTTGTGAGCTGCCCAAATGGGTGCTGTGGCTCAAATCAATGTCATCTGGAAGAACCGCCAGTGCTCTTAACCGCTGAGCCACTGAGAATATTTTAATCTGCTGTCTATCTAGGTTTTGTTAGCAGGAAAAGGAGGAGAGCCCCACAGCCAAGTGAGAATATATTTTATGTTATTTCACATGGATAATTATCCCAAGTATTTTTGTAGGCTTCTTAGTACATTCTGTTTTTAGCAGAAGACCACAGGCAGCATGATTGATAATGAGCAGAGATTTCATACATAGTTGCAGAGGCTGAGAAAGCCACAGTCAAGGGGCCAGGTTTGGCAAGGCTTATGGTTCTGCCATAATACGACAATAGGCATTGTGAAACTAGAAAGCAAGAGAGGGCAGAGCTTGCTTTTATAGCAAACCTGTTCCCTTCATAAGAATTCACTCCCATGGGGCCTGGTGGTATGCGCTTCTAATCCCAGCAGAGGCTGGCGGATCTCTGAGTTCTAGGCCAGCCTGGTCTACAAAGTGAGTCCAGGACAGCCAAGCTACACAGAGAAACCTTGTCTTGAAAAACAAACAAACAAAAACAAAAGAAAGAAAAAACGAATTAACTCACAAAGACATATGAATTTATCCATGTTACTCAACCTCATGACTTATAAAGGTGCTACCTTGTGACCTGGGATTATTTCTCACACGCTAACTTTGAAGACACATTCCCACTTTAGCAAAATGTAAAACAAACAAACACACTCACATTGCTGCTGATGCTTCAGAGATACTCAAAGTGAAGTTAAGCAACAGTCCAAAGTCATACCACTCTTAAAGAGATGGAGCCCAGCTTGAAGGCAGGCAGGCTGACTCAGGCCTGGCCTTTCAGCCACAAACTTGGTGGAACTAGGAACCCTGAAAAGCCGTGTAAACCTGCTTAAGACAGTATGGCCGAAGCTTACCTGGACGAAGCCTTTGACGTAGTCTCCCTATATCTCAGTAGCACCCTGCTTTTCTAACTTTGATTAGCCTGGCTGTACAGACACACTTATTTGCAGTGATTTCAACTTTAATGAAGCCAGAATTGGGAGCATTTTTCTGACATCTGTTTGCCATGTTGTGAAGTCAGATCTATTCTTTGCCACTAATTATATTAACTATTTTTAGGGCAAACTGTCAATGCACCATACTTGTTCATGCTTCCTACATTTCTAATTTGTTTTCTTTAGCCATATCTATTTATATCTTGAGCGCTTTTTAAAGAGATGCCCTCATTCTGCCAATGATAAATTTGGGGCTTGTAATTAAGTCGAGGGGGAAAGATCTTTGGTTGTCATGAAGATATTATTGATGGCTACTAGATGCTTTTTGAATTTTGAATAAAACTCCCATTAAAATTTTGAATCAGAAACTTACAGATGAGGGAGGGACCTAAGATCACCTACCTGTAGATCTTAGATGTAAACTTGGTGCCGGGGAAAGCTTTGTGAGCTTGTGATCCTGGGGCTGCTATTATAGCCCTCGTAAGCCTCAGCTCCCTTCTCTATAAAATGGAAAGCCAAGATGCACCTTCCAGAGTTTCTGAGTGGATTCAATGGGAGTGTTAACGGTTTCTTGTCACTTTCATTCCACAGCAGTAGTGGCTTACTAACACTGCCGTTTCCCCAGATGTCTCCAAAGCGCTCTACTCCCTTTGGGCTGACCTGCTTCAATTTCAACAGGCCATTCTCTCTTCCACTCTTCCCCAAGATTCACGAGCTCTCTCCTTAGATGGAAAGGCCCTGGGTTAGAAGAAAACCCTGCAATTTCCTGCAGTGAGAAACATAATTCTATCAAGGACACTTAGTCCCACGAGGGCCTATGTGTCCTGACTGTCCCCTTTTCCTTTGGGTGATTAGCCCATTGTGTCATATTGTGAAACCATGTTCCCACCAATGGGGTGAAATGCAGTCAGAAGTGAAAGGCAATGGGCATTTTGTTGAGTGTTTTTGCTATCTTGGTTTGGGTTCTAGTGAATTTTTTTTTTTTTTAAAGAAATCATCTTGCCAAATATCGCTTTGTTTCTGTTCCTTTGCCTAACACTGCAGTTATTTTTCCCCTAGCACCGCCCCTACTTCTGTTTGGGGCACTATGTGCAACCCTGAAGAAAACTATTCTGAGGCCTGTAACTAAAATCCTCCAACATACCCCCAACATTCCATTTCTGGAAAATCTGGCTGCATATGCCCTTCCTAAAGCAGCTGAAACCAGCAATGTCCCTTGGGATTGGCCATTCCTGTTTCTTTTACTTTCGGAATGTCAGCTCCTTGCCTGTCTTCACTGACATGGGGATTGACTGAGGCCAGATGAGCTTTCCTAGTTGACAGCTTTCCTAATTCTTGTTTTTTTTTTGTTAGTAAAGATCAGGATTTCAGTCAGACACGATGGATGGCTCAGGGAATTCCAGAACTCTGGGAGGCAAAGGCAGGGGGACCGCTGTGAGTTCCGAGGCAAGTCTGGTCTACAAAGTGAGTCAAGGACAACCAGGGCTACACAGAGAAACCCTGTCTCGGACCCCCACCCCTGCCCAACCACCAAAAAAAAAAAAAAAAAAAAAAAAAAATCAGTATTTCTGCTACCCTGTCCAGAAATTTATACTAGAGCTTCCATGTCATATTTGCCTAGAGAAGGATACAAACAAGGCTATTAGAAGTTCCCCTTTTGGCCCAAGAGCTTAGTCTTAGATACATATGTGGTCTGACACAAGCTAGATGCAGACTAAATGCTTGAAGGACGATTACTTTCTCCTCCGGCAGCCATGTGGAGAGACAATGTGTTTGTATGATGTGTTTTGCTGTCGCCAGTCACGGGCCCTCCTAGAGGCTGTCGTGACACAAAGAAGCGTAGGTCCTTGTCATGCGGATGCTCCCTGCCGCTGAGCTCCAGTTTCACATGGTGCTCACTAGCGTCATCCGTTCTTCCGGCCAGTCCCGGGCGGGGGCGGGGGTCCTCGTTGGTGTTTTGACCCCTCTCTGTCATGCAAACTGGAAAAAGATGACTGAAATAGGTCCCCTGCTCCTGACTACTTAATTTAGCTGTCCTGACTCCCGTCGCCTAGCAACATTCCCCCCCCACCCCCGCCTACGCCCAGGGCGCAAGCTCAGAGCCTTTCCGGCCCGGCCTCCCGGGCGCGCAGCTGTGACGTAAGCATCCCTCGACTCTCAGCAGCCACTGGACGCCTGGTGCCATGGCTTCCTCTGGAGTGGCGGGTGGGAGACAGGCTGAAGATACGATGCAGCCACCGCCCGAGCTGCTGCCGGAGTCCAAGCCGCCGCCGCCTCCTCAGCCTCTGCAGGTCGCCGCCCTCCCGCCGCCGCCGGCTCAGCGGCCTCAGTCCCCCGCATGCGCGAAGGAGGAGAATTACTCCTTTTTGCCGTTGGTTCACAATGTCATCAAATGGTAAGGGCCTAGGAGAGGTCTTGTCACCACCCTTCCTGGCCTCTGGTGTTCCTGGTTCGGAGCAGCCGAAGCCTGAGCGCTCTGTGCCACGCCTCCTTTTCCCAGAGTGGGCCACACAGTCTTCTTGAGAGTTCAGCAACTTCCCAAGCCTTGAGTTACTCTGCTCCCAGGCGAAGCCCACAGACTGATCAAATGGATTGGTTCTGCGGTGCATTATTCTTGTTCGCATCCCAGATCCCGCAGCGGCTTGGGGATGAGTCTCAAGTCCTTACACACATAGCCTGAAGGCAATTTGATACAATAGTTTTAATTCACCTGCGCTTTGACTGTTCATATGAAGCCTAGTGTGGAATTTCCCACTTGGAACATTATGTGAACCTTGTTGGGTTTCAGATGTTCAGACTCGAGATTCTCACCTTGCACACAGTTTAGCTCTCATTTCAATTCGAGGCAGAATCTTACCTATGTGACACTGTTAAGTACTATGGGTCTACACAGGAAAATGGTTTACCCTCTTAGGGCTTACCGGTTAGAAGCAAAGAAAAATATAATAAAACCAAGTTTAGAACTGGAGAGGGGAATGGTGATGCTAGAAAACATTTGAAAGAAAGACACAAAAATTGCTCCAAATGAATGTGTCCTGATATTAACTTTATTCTAACAGAATATCCAAGGATGTGAGTGTCATCTTTTAGGCCCAAAGTCTCCACGATGGCCTACGTTTTTGTTGTTACTTCCATGGACACTTGTGTCATTTCTAAGAGGTACACTGTTGTGTGAAAGCGTTCTCATCTCAAGTGTGCTTTCGTACGGAACAGTCACTAGCAGGGACCTCTTGGTGAAGTCAGGATCCTTGACAACAGTAAAAGAGAGTTGGATGGCTTGGTGAGTAAGAAGACAAGGAGCTGAATTTGAATCCCCGGCATCCACATAAAAAGCCAGTCATGGCTGCTCATGCCTGTAGCCCCAGCATTCCAGGGCAGAGACAAACAGATCCTGAGAGCTCTGGCCCGCCAGCCTGGCTGAAACTGCGAGTTTCCTATTTAATACGCGACCCTGTCTCAAAGTAAGAAGGTGAAGAGAGACAGAGAAAGACACTCAATCGCTGTATGCCCCCCTGTACACTCAGGCATTCGAAGACCTGTGTAAACACCCCCCCCACACACACACACATAATAAACACACCACACAAACATAACAAACAAAAAAAGGGTCTTGGTAACAGGGAATGTATGAAGGTTGCTGCTGGTGAGTTAGGACGTTCTGTCAGATGGGAGAATTTTATTTATAGAGTTGTTTGTTTGAGACAGGGTTTTGCCTTTAAACTTTTGATCCTCCTGTCAGCTTCCTGAGTGCTGGGGCTTGCAGGTGTGCGCCTCTACACCTAGCAGCTGACACTCTTGCAGGAGGAAGGAATGTGCTTTAAAACCACAATACAACAAATGTTGAGTGTAATGAATGCATAAACTATGACGTCATTTATTATCTGAAGCACTCTGAAGCACTAACACCACCTGTAATTGTATGAGCTCTATTTTTATAGATCAGGCAGTGTAAGTGGTTTTTTTTCACACTGGTGTGAGTGGCGCATTCTGCTGCAGCATTACCACAGCTACTATGTCATTAGGCAAAGGAAGTTCTTGGTTACATTATAACCATTAAATTGTCACTGTATATACGATCAGGCACTGACCAGGTTATTTAGCACATGACCATATAGCCACAGGATACTAGATAGAGGCAGACCCCTGAACTTGAAACTTTTGCTAAACCAAAAGTAAATTAAGGTAGGATTACAATTCCAGTCATATTTATGAACATTGGTGTGCCCTTTTGTTGGAGTTGAGGCAGCCTAGTTCCCTTACTGTATGGTGGCTTGGTGCTTGTCTTACTTAGGGCTACTACTGCTGTGATGAAACACTATGACCAAAAACAAATTGTGGAGGAAAGGGTGTATTTGACTTACACTTCCATATCACTGTGTATCATTGGAGGACGTCAGGGTAGGAACTGGAGTCAGGAGAAGGAAGGAGGCTGCTTAGTGGCCGGCTTCACATGCCTTGCTCAGCTCACTTTCTTTCCTTTCCTCTTTCTTTTTGTTGGTATTGTTTGTTTGTTTGTTGGAGACAGGGTTTCTCTGTGTTTTCCTTGCTGTTCTGGAATTATTTGTATACCATGTTGGCCTCAGATTCAGAGATCTGCCTGCCTCTGCCTGCCAAGTGCTGGGGTTAATGGCATGGGTCACCACCACCCAGCTTCAGTGTGCTTTCTTATAGAACCCGGGACCACCAGCCCAGGGTGGCTCATCCACGACGGGCTGGGCCCTCCTATATCAATCACTAATTAAGAAAATGCCGACAGGCTTGCCTGCCACTCAATATTATAGAAGCATTTTCTCAGTTGAGGCTCACTTCTCTCGGATGACTCTAGCTTGTGTTAATTTGACATAAAACTAGCCAGTGCTCATCTGCCACTTGTCAAATGACCGCAAAGCTTTGGTCCTCACGTTAGACTTTTGGCTTCGGAAACTATGAACATGCTGTAGGTAAGGTAGACTGTTCCCTTTGTGTTAGCTGTTGGCAAATACATTAGTGAGATGGAAGAGAGGACAGTGAAAACCTCACCATCTCAGGGCAGTGCTGGAGTATTGGGGCTATCCAGAGTAACCCAGATATTCATGGAAAATTTAAAACACAAGTGGGTATACATTCACCCATACCTCGGAGAGGATGCTCCCAAGCCAGGGGAGCAGCTGGGTTGGGCCAGGCTTTGTGACAGGACATAAGATGAACCAAAAAGTCAGTGGGTCTGAGTTTGAGTCCATGAGCTGAGGCTTGCCTTATCTAAGTCTTGGTAAATGCTTAAGTTTCCCAGGAGGAAATTTTCCTGTCTCTATAGATCAGTAGTAGCTCTCAATGGTGGTGCACACCTTTAATCCCGCCACTCAGAAGACTGAGGCAGATCTCTGAATTTGAGGCCTACCTGGTCTACCTGTTTAGTTCCAGCCAGCCAGGACAGTAGGTTCAAACTACTCTGCAATTTATACCTCGGTAGTCTTGGGCAGGTAACTCCAGTCCTTACAGAACTGGGAGGTACTCTAAGGTGCATGCCTGTAGAAGATGGTTGGTTGATCACATAGGCTTGTCTAAAGGGACACAAAAGGGATTTTGTTTTTTTATTTAACATAAGAACAGGAAGGGCAAGCAGTGATTGCCAGAAAACAGCTGACTAGGGCTAATTGACCTACTGACCCTCAGGCAGCTTGACCATGACCTTCTCCATACCTCAGGGGCTGGCAGTGATAGAAACCTCTGTAAGCAGTGTGAACAAAGGCAGTCACAGTCCTGATTCCCCTGCCCTAAGCGTTCAGAAACTACCCTTCTTCTACCTTGGCTAACATCAATCTGCTCGAGGTTGGCCTTTTAGAGCACTGGTTCTTAACCTTCTCATGCTGTGACCCTTTGGTACTGCTCCTTACGTTGTGGCGACCCCAACCATAAAATTATTTAGGTGCTACTCCACGACTGTAATGTTGCTCCTGTTATGAACTGTAATGTAAATATCCGATATGCAACCCCCAGAGGGGTCGAGGCCCACAGGTTGACTAAGCCAGAGTCAGTGTGGGACCAGACTTTGGGGCTGGGAAGGGAAGCCAGCTGAAAATAGGGGTTATGATCCCCTTGGGCATCCCTTGCTGTGTGCTTCTAGCTGGGCAGAGAGAACAAGGTGCCCTTCCTAGAGTGTCTGGCCACCAGGGGAGAAAAGACTTTTCTCCAAGAAAAGCCAGCTCCATTTCCTCCAAGAGTGAAGATGCGACACGCCTATGACGGGCCTTCGGTGGCTCACTTGCAAGTGTGTGACTGGCAACACTGGCCACTAGGCATGTAAAAGAAACTGCAGTGAGCAAGGCAGGGCCTGAGAGAAAGCAGTATGCTCAGTATGGCACTGTCTGCATGAAAAAAGATAGGGCTAGTTTGAAAGCTCTGGGATGCTGTGTGGATTTATAGGCCAGTGAGGGAAAGAGATGGGGACTGTGGCAAGGGCAGAGGAGGAAGGGACTTGGGAAGTGGAGTTGCAGATTATAGTGCATGGTGCCACCTGTGAGTCTGAAATTATGAGAGGAAGGAGGGTAGAAAAGCCGGAGTGAAGAAAAGCTGTATGGTAGTTTCGACTTCTGAGGTCCCTGCTCAGTGTGACGGCGTCCAGCACAAATTCAAGGAAGGAGAGAGATTGTAGAGGAGCCGGGAAATTGAGGCAACATCTTTTGCAGGGTAAGCCTTTATTTTTGGAGGAGGAAGCTACTGGCAAATCTTATAGACTGGGGGCAGGGGGTCAGTGGGGCAGGCTTTCCTGGCTGGTGGCTCTGCCAGGCTCTGATGCCTTGGTCAGTGCTTCCTTCAGCAGCTCTTGAGCTGTGTGTCCTCCTTCCTGGGATGAGTGAGAAAGTAAAGCCTGAAATAGAGGATGTAATCTTGTTCTCAAAAGCTTACGGTTAGTCACATCACAAGAGGTTTTTAATTAATCAAAGGAGCAGTTGCCAAGTACAACAAGTTGTGGCTGCTGGGACACTGCCTTAAATCTCTGCTCAGTGTTTATACGTCTTTTCAGAAAAGGAATGACATAGAAATGGGGACTAGGCTGTCACGTGCCATTTCCTTAGGCTGTCGTCGCTTCCACTCTGCACAGGCGAGTCAGTCTCATTTAGGGAGCTGTAGAGAGCCCTATCTGAGATGCAGCTGGTCTTCACTTGTAGGCATGTTGGCATTTCATTTTTGCAGCAGGCACCATGCTGGCATGAACAGTCCTTTGCTTGAGTGTATAGTGAGGTAAATTCTCTGCCATGGAACCACTGAAGCAGGGGTGTGCAGTTTCTATCTTGACAGCTATTGCTCAGTTCATCTTTTTAGCTGACTCTTCCAAACTTCAGATCAGTCTACTTCAGTTAACTTAAAACTCTATTAACCTGAAATGGCCCATAAACCTGCCACCTAAGAAGTGCT